AAATAATTTAGTTAAAAAATTCTTGTTAACATATTTATTAGGTAGGATATATTTTTGAACCATCAAAATCTACTAAAATTTTATTTATTATTGAAAATTATATGTGGGTTTTTTAAAAAGAGTTTATAAGGGGAAGCAAATGTTTTTACATTTTTTTTTGAAGTATGAATAAAAGTTGTATTACTATTATTTAAGAAATAAAATATATAAGATAAATACACTAATTTCTCATAATATTAAAAAAAATCATATAAAATATTATAAGAACATTTAAATAATGAAATTCGAGTATATTCTAATAATAATTTTCTATTTGCAGGTGAAAATTTTTTATCCATAAGATAAAAAAAATTTTTATCTTGAAATAAATGGGCCTATTTTTAAAACTCATTGCCTGGGCCAAATGATCTGCAAATTTGACCAGAATTACCCAATTTTTGGGGTCTGATTGACAAAAATCATTAATATTAAAATTAGCCTAACGTCATCTTGCATTTTGTTTACACAAACTTTGTGTCACAAAGTAGTTTTATCCATGTCCAAACTGAGACCCAGCACTACTTCTAGTGAAGCGCAAAAATTGTTTTCTGCTTATTTACAGCAAGTTAATGAAAATGACTTGTCTATAACAAGCTTTATAAGTTTTTGTTCACAAAAAAAATGTATAACCTTCAAAGACCAAGATCCTTTACTAGATGTGTATTTACAATCATTTGAATTTTTAAACAAACGTAAATATATTAATTCTGATATTTAAAATATAATAATTATTTAATAATTTTATATTTATAGCCACACATTGTAAACTATCAGTGGGGTTGCAAAAAGTATTAAAAAACAAATATAAGAAACAATGTATCAACGAAATCATCAATAATTACTATGTGAGTGTAATTTAAGCCATATCTTATATCATTAGCATTTGAATGAGAACCTGGCAAGTATGAACAATATTGTAAGAACTTATTGTTCTGGTGCTTGGATTTGTCAGGTTCGGTGGGTATGAATGTAGTTATATTTTCATACTAAGAGCTTATGGTTCTGGCGCTTGAATTTATGAGAATC